AAGAAAGTAATGATTACCTAAAACAGGTCAGTCATTTCGGCTTAACTCAATAATTTGAAATCTAAGAAGAGACATTTTCTTTAATTTGTATTTTACCATGTATCAGTCATAATGTCTAATAGCATTCCATTGGAACCTTTGCTTGTTCTAGTCATTCATTTTTCCATTGATTTAGTATTCATTTTGTGACCCATCTCTTTCTGATATGACTATGTCACACATGTATTCTCACATAATGATTGGACTTTTTTTTTTTTTTTTTTTTTTTTTTTTTGAGTTTATTGTAATTCTGCTTGTCATGAACTGAGGGCTCAGTTGACATCTCTGAATACTTTAGTGTTCAAAGTATATTAATAAAATATTCCATTTACCCCCATGTGATTCTCACAAACTGCATGATAAAAGGTGATCATTTAGTTCTATACTATCATGTCTGCTCCAGAGTAATTAGGTGAGGTGGTGAAGCATCATGTCTGTACCAGGATGCCCATGGATAAACACTGACTTCTGTTGAAGTCAGATCAGCTGGGGAGCTCCTTCTAGTACTTCTCCTTCATTCATATTTCTAACAATGTTCTTAAGGTTTTGAAAGAAAACACTTTAGATACAGAAAAGGAATACAAATATATCAAGACAAGTATTTTTCAGAGGTCTAAATTAAATTTGAAAGTACAGAATGCTTCTAATTTGAGAAGCAGTTGAAAGAAAACAAAAAATTAGAAATTCCGAGTTCTAATTTTGTCTCTGCTATTTTCATTGAACAAATACTGAAAGAACGTTTAATCCTTCAGGGTTTTGGTTTCCTCTTTTTAAGTATTAAGATACCATATTGGAACAGAATGTCAATTTTACATTCCAGGCCCACTGAAAACAAAATATGCTCCATAGTGTAAAATAATATTTCTAGGAAACAGATTGGCTTTTTATGTGCTGCTTTTAATGCAAATTTTGTTGAATAGGGAAAAAATGCAAAGGAATTTAGTTGTATTTCTTAAATTCTGTTCTACATATTCAGAATATATGGGTGACAGGCTTGTGTGGAGATGTAAGAAAATCCAACAGTAAAGGATATACTATGAGTTTCTTCCATTGATGAATGCACATGAGGGCAGAGCTAATGTAAGTTGAAGAGTCAGATAAATAAAATTTCAAAATGTAATAATCTATCAAGTTACATATTCTCTCCAAAAGTGACAGTTTTAATGTCTATGAAATATATTTTATACTCCTTCGAAAAGGTGACCTTGTAATTGTTTTTAAAATAGCTTGTATACATATCCTGAGAAACAAGGGAAGAAAGATGAGATAAATGAATAAGTTACAAAAAGAGAATATTTATAACCTTTTCACTGGTTTCTGTCATGCCCTGTGGTCTTAAGCTCCTGAGCACCAGTAATGGGGAATTTCTTTTGGAGCAGGAAGAGATCCTTCAGGGACAATCTCAGACTACATCAACTAGTTCTGAAGAACCTCGGTTTTAGCTGAAGTGATCTATCCAAATCTCAGCTGTACAGTTTTTGCAACTGTGAAGTCAGAGTACATGCCCAAATAACTTGAGTATTTCTAAAAAATCTTCTTGCCACCTTCATTTATAATTTACAAAATATCCAATAGACAGTGTAAGGAAATAGAAAGCATATGTCTACTTCTGAGTGCCTTCACTACATTTCAGAGATGTGAGGATATTTGGGAAAAAACTTGCTAGTATGTTAGACAACACTCTACAACACATCATTAATAAGGAAAAGATAGATCCAAATATATATAATGCATTGTGTAGGAGTAAATGGGTTTTACTAAGGCTTCTTTCTCCCAGAAGAGGAAAACATGTGGGTACTGTAGAACAAAGAGCTTGTTTAATAAAAGTACGTTTATGAATTTATGCACTGTTTACAATCACAATAGATTTTTCTCTAAAAAATGCTGTCTTTAATAAGTCACAGAAGTAGAATGTCCGAAGAGAGGGGCTGTATTTGACATCTCTAAATTTTAGGACCACTTCCTAAGGTGTACAATCCTGTACAATGCAGATACTTTATAGTTTTTCATAAACTTCAGACATGTTTGGGATTTTGTGTTCCTTAATTCAGAATGGTTTACCTTGACAAATACTATAGTTAATTATTTAAATAAATACGATAAATTTTTTAGGAGAGTACAAACCGTGTTGTATACTATGTTTACAAATATGCAAATGAGAAAGAAAAATCATGGGCGGTCTGTTCTTGAGGGAAACTAACACTGGAGTGCAGTAATAATAAAATTGATGTTCCTAAGATCTTCAGAAAATAGTACAGGAGGTTCATATATCCATCAAAACCCTCATTCTCAACAGCTGGTATTCTCCCCTGCTTAGAATTCACTGGACAACTTTCCCATCACTCATTTGTGGGACCAGTGTGCTGAAATAATGAAAATCATGCTTCAGTTCCACATTCTGTTATGTGCACCCTTAACATAACCTGCATTCAAGAGCAGCTTGTACCTCAACTACACTCAAGCAGTTAGGTGCACTGTTACGTCCACCTGTGTTCAGGATGCTTTTAGAGGCCATTCTCATCATTTCCTTCAGATTTTTTTATCTCATTATTTTGTTTTGTTCCGTTTTTTTTTAAATTTTTATTTATTTATTTTTAGTTGTTTGTTTTGAGACAGAGTCTCTTTATTTGAGCCACACTTCTTCCTGCCTCAGACTCTTAAGTGCTGGGATCGCAGATATGGTAGGTGTGTACCACTATGTCTGTCCCCCTATGCCTTTTAATCAAACATATAAATCGTTGATTCTCCATACTTGATAATTTTGTCACAGCCTCCTTTTCCTTTGATACTTTAGCAATTTCTTTATAAAATACCCTACTTGTCTTTGGTTGAGGTTTAGATGTTATAGTTTACATGGAGTTTGTTAACATGTTGATCCTCTTTATCATAGCCAGTTTTAACCAATATACTGGACCTTGTTCTCAAACAATAATATAACCCCAATTTTTCTCATCATGAATGAAAAATTCACTACACATTTTCTAGTAAAAGAAAAAGTCTTCCTCAAGAGAAAGAATAAGAGAGCTCTAGGAAAGGAGAACTTGAATAAGGAAGATTTAGGTAGATAACTGAGTGTCACAGTGTAGGAACAAGTTGGAGCTTTATGCCACAAAAAGCATGTTTCTGATCTGGACAGAGAATTATTTTTCCTTGAGATTTGGTGATCATAGTACATGGCTAGGTTGTAGAATAAGTGCTTAAAGAAGACAACTACTAACTACTAGCCTTATTTGAAATTAGTACTAATTTAATTTTTTAAATTATCAGGACAAGATTAATTAGTTTTAAAACTTTTAGGAGAATGGATGTCAGTAAAGGTCAGGTTAAGTAGTATGCGCATCTTAGAATGGAAATGTGAGGAGTCTCATATTACAAGACTCTTCTCTTCCATCCTGAAAATAATAAATATGAAAGAATCTACTGGCAGTGATGATAAAGGTAACATATGCATCAAGAGGAAGACCAGCTGCCTATAATTGAAGAAGCATCAGTTCAGCTGTGCTGATACCACCTGTGGGCTCAACAAAACTATAAGAAACACCACTTGATGTGAACTTACTGACCCTTTTGTTTGCCAGTTCCCTCTCAGTACTTCTATACCATACACTAGATTGTCCTGAGCTGAAGAGCATCTGAGAGAAGGTGGACTCATATTTGAAATACATAGTGTAGTAGAAGTAAACATAGCCAAAAAAAAAAAAAAAGGCCCCACATATCATTGGTCTAGGTAGGCCTTTCCAACCATACAAACACTACAAAACGGAAAATTCAAGTTATGAACACTAGATTCATTTATAAAATGCAAGGGAAATATATCCTTCTACAAAAGCTTGATCTCCTGATACTTTGGGTCTGTACACTGGGTGGGATGTGAATTTTGGCTGCTCTAAAGATATTAAATATTCCAGAGCAAAAGAGGACAATTTAAGCTATTATAAAGATATTTCATTTTTTCTTCTGAACCTGTATAAACATACAAAATATAAATAATAGAGCCAATATGGTTAATTTCTCATTCATATTTTTGAAGAATTACATATTCCAGCCATGGAACGGAATATGACTAGTCACGGCTATTCACAGTTAAACTTTTGTATTTTAGTTGAATAGGCCTAAATTAAAAGTGATATATATTGTCTCAAATATATATTGTCATCAAATACATAATGCATGTCAAAATGTCTATTCCAAATTTCAGAATAAAATGGTATAAAATTTCCCACATCCATGACTCAAAAGATATTGAGTAGGAAAATTTTCATATGTAGGCATAATAATTATAGAAAGCAAGTAATATATGTCCAAATACAAAGAGGTTTACTTACCCTCAGTTAAGCATGTTACACAGACTCAATACAGAAATGCCTGTAATCGCATCTTTACTGCAGATTCAGCAGAAAAAGAATATATAAAGACAACAGTTTTTGAAGCATTAAAAGTAACAGCCTGAGGATGGATAAACACAGACTAGGAAAGTTCACATTACATACTGTGAAACACTAATTGAAGAATGTTTATTTAGAACAAGAGTTGGCCCTTTTGTACATTCTGTAAGACAGTAGTGTCATGTTTATAGGACTATGCTATAAATAATACATTCTTGAAAAAGTTAAAACATTTTTAATTTACTTTGTTTCCATTACTATACAGGATCCATGCACTTAATTTGATCTATGTATTAGAACTCTGTGTGCTGACAACATATTATCCAACAGACCCAACATCTTTTTACAAAAGTGGAAAAAGATAATATATGTATATATGCATGCATGTGTATATGTATGTATGTGTAGGTGTGTGCATGTATGTATGTATGTGATTATACATATACTGATTTGTATATAATGAATTGACTTGAAAGGTTGGAATACATACATATGTGTGGATCAAGTATCCAAGAGAAAGAAATCTGATAGACTGAAATTTGCAAATATATTATGCAGATTGTGAAGCTCTAGAGATTTTTTTTTTTTTTTTGTCTCAAAGGAAAAACTTGAATGTACCATGTTGAAAATGTGATGACTCATTTTCAGGAAGCACTTTGGTCTTGGTATCATTGATGCTCACTAGTGACAAAGTGAGAGCAACCTGTAAGCTAAGGTTTGATTAAGTAGTCTCTGCCTAAATCTCTTAAGCAATAAAGAGGTAGAATTTCTGAACAATATGGAGGTATTTTATTAATTACAACAAACCAAATAATATAGGGCACACTAAACTAAATTTGCTTTAAGGCATTTGGAATAAAATTTGCTAGGTTTATAAACTTTTAATGGACTGCTTTATAATACTTTATAAAATAATACCTTAAAAGTTAATGTTAATCTTACAAAGGCATTCAGCTATTATGGGAGGAGACTGAGTATGATGTGTTTCAAGTTTAAGTGATTTGGTTTATTTCCAAAAGCTTCCCTTGAGAAAAAGAATTTGCCAGCTTTATGTTGTTATTGTTGTTGTTTTTGTTTTGTTTTGTTTTATTTTTTTCAAATAAGAAAAGAGTTCTGAGGAATTAGAAGCCCAATTACCAATTACATGGCCAAAAAGCTTCAGGTCTAAAAAAGGTAACCTAACCCAACTAACTCGTTCATCCACATTCCCTATAAGAACATTTAAATATAAATTGTTCATTTATAAAACCCAATGCTGTGATTTAATAAGATTGATAATCAGTTAGGTGAAAAATTCTACATGAAGGACAGAAATTAAAAAATATACATATTTATGAATTTGGGCTACAAAATGTTTGGTCATAAACATTATGGTCTGACAGTACAGAATGAAGTTTTGTAGCTAACTCCTATATATAACTCCAAATTGTACTAAATATTTGTACATTTTTCAGAGGACATAGATCTAGAATTTGGTTGAGGTTTTTGTTGTTATTTGTCATTTTATGTCTACTTAATGATTTTCAATTCTGAATACTTAACAGTAGTTTGTGTTTTAATTTTGCTATTTAGAATTACTATATATTTCTCATTTTATTGATTTCTCAGTTCATTACTTCCATTTATATTATTGTTAATAAAGCTATGACCCCACCCACCCTAGGGATTTATCATAATGTCAAATAGAAAATTATAAGAAGCAGGAAATGTATTGTCTCTGGTGACAAGTAAGGGAGCTTAGGCTAACATGCCACACTGATCTCAGTACCAAAATGTTTTCTATGACTTTGCAAATAGATCCTCTTGTAAACCTACGTTTTCCCACTGACCAACAGAAAGGCTACATTCTCACTGGAGGTCTTGCAGGAAAATTAATTATATCTTCTCTAGGTGACTACTTCAGTTAATTTATTATAAAATTTAGAAATGATAAGAATTTTAGTTATATTCAAAAAAGAAATAAAAGAACTCAGAATATATTCCTTTAGTGTTAGAAAAACATCATTCAAGTAATACTAGAGACATACATTAACTAGGAGTAGAATGCCTTGAATAAACATAAGTCTCTTAGAGATAAGTTTCTTTCTATCTGTCAGTACCATAAAACTAACCTATCTTACTAACAGTATCTCATATGAACTTGAATGGAATGCCTGACTCAGCTACAATTAGCATAAAATTTACCTTGGAATAAAACAAGTAAAAAGTAGTGAGAAATCCTTTTATTTTTATAATAGTTTATTTATATATTCACAAAACTTTAGCTTAACTAACATGGCTAAATTATGTTCAGGGATTGTTCTGTGACAAGCACTTATCGTTTATACTTTATAATGGGTAATATTGAAAAAAAAGGTGGATTATTAAACAGAAGATGATGACTTGCACTTAATATTGATAAAAATGATAACTACATGTTATCTTGGGTTCTTCCTAGACCATTGTCAGGTTTAAATATGAAAATTTCACAAGAGGCATTAATATATAAGAACAAGGCTTATAAAATATGATTTATAATAAAATCATAAATGTTCATAATTAGTACATTTCACCATGATTATCTGTTTGCTTATAGCAGAAGTTTCCATTTTATGAGACTGACTGTAATTTTATAATCTGTTAAATTTTACATCAAAATGTTTGATATAGTGTCCAATGGAGGGAAGGAAGTGCTGGTCTACCCTGTGGCCCTCAGCACTCTGAGGAAATTCTTTATTCCTTCAGGGACTCTAAGTTAGATAAAACCAGTTTCTTGGTTTCCACACAGAAAAGTTTCAAAACAAGATAGTTTGGAGCAGTGCTGAGGTTTATTAGAAAGAAAAGGCTCAGGAGTCTAAAGTACTCTGGAAAGCCTAAGTGTGGGCTTCGCAGAGAAAAGTCCCCATTTATCGGAAGAAACTTTTAACATAGATTTTAAGTATGTGGATTGAGTGAGAAATGATCCAGGGATACAACATAGCCAAGTGTGGGCAAGGGCTCCCAGGAGAGATTCGAACTTATGTGCCTTAGCATTAGATATTTATATTTATTTACATCTCAAAGGTTACTGAGAAACATTTTATTTCCTTCTTCCTTTTTTGATAAATGAGATTATAAGGTAGTTCTGGAGAAGCCTCAGATGAGATTATAATTTGATTATAATCCAAATTATAAAACCAGGAGTTAAAACCAGGAGTTCTTTTCTGGTGAGATTCCTAAAAAAATGCCAATTTACAGGTGGAAGAAAAGCAGAAGTTGTCAATGGTGTTGGGATTCTTGATTTTCTGTTCACCAAAGTCATGTTCATATATGTAGAATTCTAGGGACCTCGTGAGACAGCAGAAAGCTCCTCTTTGGGAGGAAGGATCATGGTGGATCAAGAACTGGTTACAGAATACCTGTGACTTCTCCCGGACTGGATGAGTAACTCTCTGGTTGAGCCTAGGGAGCTTGAGCATGTGGACTCCCTACTGGTTCCCTCTGATGCACTAAAAAATGAAAAAAACCAGTAAAGATTACACCTCAGTGTCCATCCAGTTCCTACTATAAGTCCCATAAAAACCATTGGGCAGGGAATCACAGGGGTATTACTCCCCTGGAATCTCTCCCACTCTGGTAAGTTCTTTTCTCATCTTTCTTAAATAAATCTGCTTACTCCCGGCCCCTGGCACCTTAGCCCACTGAGTTAAGTTCACCAAGAGCCTAGAAAGGCTCCCTCACTCTCAAAAGAGCCCCATCATTTGAAGGGGAATCCATAGATATCTAAGGAATCAAATTTAGACATGGTGTGTTTGCCCACTTGGCTGACTTACTTCTACAGGTTATAAAGGATGAAAAGGACCTTCTGATGTGCTCGATTTGTAGGAAGCAAATGGATGGTTTATAATCTGTGAAAAGGACAAGGCTTTCTCTCTCCCGATCCTATCAACATTCATCTACACAAAACACCTCCTGCTCCAGCTACATTCTTATACTGAGAAAACAAAAGCGGTAATGGAAATGATCAGAGGGAATTTGTCCAAAGAATTAAAGAAAGATTACCTAGCAAATCCCAGATTTTTCTAGTGTGCTATTACTCTTTTCATCAGAACCTTTTAGATATCTATGTATTTTTCAAAATGGGCTGCAACTTTCTCCCAATTACAAGAGAAAGGGTTACTAGTGTAGAGCACTGAGGGAAATCCAGAAAAGTATCTTTTTTTCCCTTGCTAACTCTTGCACAGTTGGCCTGAGGTGGATAGCCCCTGGGTTTAGCAGACCCAGAGCCTGCGGGGGAGGTGAGCCCGGAATGTGCTGGATGTGCATTCCTTAGATGTTTGAAACGGAACTGCCCCCTTATTGGCTTCTACCCATTTTAACTGGTTTGGTAGCTCTGATTTTAAACAGACAATAGGCTCCTTAGGTATTTATCACTAGCTACTGGTTTCTTTCAGGTTTTGGAATTAAGCTTTTAAAACAGAAATTTCTTTTATCCACGTTTGGTTTATAGCTTTTCAACTGTTGCTTTGTTTGATTTTTACACATAAGTATAAAGGTCTCCAAAGAGACTCCTCCTGTCCCAACCCTTGCGACTATGAAAGAGCTGTCTCTCAACATTGAAGATCCACAGATTAATAAGAAAGAATCCCATGAAAAAAGCATACAGTCCTGTCATTTGCAGCAAGATGACTGTACCTGAAGGACATTATGTTGAATGAAATAAGTCAAGCAGAGAAACACAAACACTGCATGGTTTCTGTCATGGAGAATTTGAGAAAGCTGATCTCATAGAGAACAGGGTAGGGCAGTGGTTCCCAGAGGCTGTGAAAGTACAAAGAACCGGGAATGTTCAGAGACATGTGCCTTCTGGTATAGTGCTGAAGTTTGAAAGAATAAATTATGGTGTTCCATGTGCAGAGGAGTGAATACAATTGAAAATAATATTATATATGATTTTGAAGGTACTTACTGTAAAACAAGAAAACTTAAGGCGAATTACTAGTTCCTAATTATTATAAACTAAAAACATAATATAAAGAGTGTGTGTGTGTGTGTGTGTGTGTGTGTGTGTGTGTGTGATGTCTATACCCAAAAGATAAACTGGAAAGTACAAAAAGAATGAAAAAATTTAAATCTAAGAGGAGAGGTCCCTTCCTTCCTGGTACATCTGTGACTTCTTCTTCATTAGCTTTTCACTGCTTTCAGTTTTTATAGCTGAAAATTATTTAAAAATGCAAATAGACATTTGCTATTTATTGACATTTTTAAAAATCATTCAGTAAAAATATTTCAAATTTCCCTTACTAAATGTCACAATTTTCCATGGCTATTTCCTTTAAAAAAAAATTGAAAAACTGGGGCTGGAGAGATGGCTCAGTGATTAAAAGCACTGGCTGCTTTTGCAGAGGACAGAACCCAGGTTTGATTCCCAGTGCCCCCTTGGCAGCTAACAGCCATTTGTAACTCCAGTTTCAGGATATCTAACACCCTCTTCTGACCTCTGTGAGCACTGCACAACACAGGTGAACTTACATACATGCAGGCAATATACTCATACATGTAAAATAAAACTAATAAATAAAATATTTAAAAAGAAAAATTAATTTAAAATTATGACACGTGAAATAAATCTATTCATCCAGCCAACTAGTTTTTCTATAAAAGACACCTTTTAAACAGTAGATGAACTTCTACTCACAGCTCAGGCACCCACGTGCTCTCTAGAACAGTCTTGTAAGTTTCTGACTCACTCTAAGCCATTCTCATGTCATACTGCACTCCTACATAGTGCTTTCATCACCTATTCTTGTAATGTGCCTATGAGAATTCTCTTTGGATTCCAAGGTTATATAAATGGAAATTATAATGATTTTTCTAAGCAAACCATTTAAAGCTATCCTGGATTAGGCTTTCTATAAATTTCTGTTTGAGATTCAAATTAAGTGTATAATGTGAACAATAATGAACACTAATTAGTTCGGAAATAGAGTTGCAATATTTAAACTTTCATTAATTTGCTTAGGCCTTTCCCTACCTTTTTCTGAATTAGGTAGTTACATACTAAACAATCAGACAGGAACATGCATTAAAAGTATATTAAAATTAAATGGAGCAATTAAGTATGCATAGTCATTTATTCCTCTTTAGAAATCCTACAGTAAAGAGTGCATTGTTCCGTCAAGTCCTTAACACATTGTGTTATAGTTATTGTTTATAGTCTATCTCTCTGACTAGGTGGAGTGTCTGGTGATCTTAACCTATTTATCTCTGGATCCCCAGCTCTGCCAAAATGTCTCACACAAGAAAATGCTCAGCATAAACCTGTTGAATGAAAGAGTGAGGAATGAATGGGCTTGAGGACCTCACTGTGCAATTCATGGGGTATGACCTTTTAGTTTGCTGGAATTTCTGCTTGTAGCCCAGTTGGGTGACATAAAAAAATCATAAGGAGCCTTGAAAGAGATTTTCTGTTTATATAAGCTATAAAGAATTCCATACAGTCCAATTAATGTTGAGAACTTTTCATTCAGTAGAAGTTGATTACTTACTGTGTGAAGCACAGCTATACAATTGGACACCCAGCTCCTGCCTTCATGGATTTGAGTGCCTAGTAGGAGGAAGGGCAGGTAGAGAGCTGTGTACACAAATCATACTGTGAAAACTGCTCAATCAAGAGCCAAGGAGCATAATGGAGAATCTTGATGTATGTCAGGTAAATATTTCAAGAATGGAGGTGGGACGTGAAACCATAGAGGGAAGCCCTTAGCTTGATGTAGTTTGTATTGAGGGGAGCTTCATAAGCTGTCTAGTCTCTGCCCTTTCCAAGAATCATGCAAGGCTTAACATGTTCTGTTTCCTATTTGTCCATCAAATGCCCAGGTTAGTTTGTTTTAACTTTCATCATTTATAAAGGTTTCTATTTGCACCTATATTCTAAAATCCATATAATTTTATGAATCATATTTATCACTCATATGTTATAATGTATGTTCTCTTCAAAAAAATAGCAGAATGTCATCTGTGTGATGAGGACAAAAACTTAATAAGGCTTCTGAATATGCATATTACTAAATAAATTTTAAGAACTTGAAAGTATTTTACCAGGTAGAAGTTTCACTTCTTATCAATTACTGGTATTATGTGACTTCCTGTGAAAAGAATACTCTTCTTGGAATATTTATACTAAGAGAATTAGCAGTTAAATGAATATTTGTCAGGTTATACTACCTGTGGTTAATCATATGTTATATGTCATACTGACATTTATATGCATGTATATTTTAGATACCACTATAATGTGAACGGCATTTTATTCTAACAAGTAGAGACAGCACAGACTGCTCTGAGATGAATCATCTTAAAATGCTGAGTCCTTTAAAGTTATAGTGAAAAAGTGTGATTTGATTCTAGATTTGATTCTTTGTACAGCCATGAGCTAGCTCTCTGGCTTCAAGTGAGTCCCTTAACCTCTATTTTATTTAAAAATTGTTTTCTTTATACTATCATTTACACTTTAAATAACATGGAAACAAAATTTGGAAGGGCTTTCAGTGGGGATCAGTTATAAAATAAGCACTTAAGGTTTATTCAAATATGAGTAAATCCTAGAAGTTAAAATATAAAAAAAGCTCGTCACAGTTTGTTACTTTGCTTCTCAGAATATGTATTCTAGACTAAGAAACAAATCTCTTCAAACAATATTTACACGATAAGTACTATATGAATTTGGTTACTGAATCATTTACCTCGCAGCTACCCTCAGCAATGTTTGAGGCAGACTGTAGTGACATCAATAGAAAAAGAGAAAGCTTAAAATGTTTTATTGCGTTCACATATCTCACATACCAGATGAAAATAAAGATATAAACAACAATGATATTATAAGATCCCTAACTATTTCTAGAAATTTGGAGTATAAAATTTTCTTATAAGAAATTTTTCATGGATTGAAGGAAAGGGATGAGTTATGCAAATAATCCTCACAATGTTCATACCATAAAGCAATGAACTCACATTGCCCAGTTTGACCCACTGGATATTACAGCCACATTCTTGAACAAAAAGCATCTATTGGAAATATGTGTTGCTTTCCTGCTTCTTGAAAGACCAGAAATTACTTTGGAGAATGAAACGGGCTTCTGATCATACATTTATTATACAAGTCATTATTTTTCCATTTCTAAATTTCCTAATGATAAGAAACAGCCTATTTTCATCAAATTGGTTTCTCTTATGCTCTTTAAGTGTGAGAGACATCCATCTGGGCTTGAAGATAATGATACCATGAAATGGAAATCTAAGTTTTAGGCCACAGTCAGGGCAGTCTTCTACTAAAAATAAGTGGCCATTTAAATGCTACCATATCTAGTTTTGCAAATCTATCCTCACACAGCAAATAATCATTTTTTGGTACAAGTTAGTTATAAAATTCTCCATTAGTGGTTGGTAATGGACCATAATATTACATGTTTTTCAAAAATGCATTTGGAAAATGAAATGCTAGAAATGA